AAAAAGAAAGAAAGAAAGAAAAAGCTTCAAAATAACTCACTCCAGTGGGTGGCTCAATCAGTTAAGCAACTGCCTTCTGCTTGGGTCATGATCCCGGGGGTCCTGTGATTGAGCCCTGCCTCAGGCTTCCTGCCCAGATGGGAGTCTGCTTCTCCCTCTCTCTCTGTCAAATAAATAAATTTTTAAAAATCTTAAAAAAAAAAAAAAAAAAAAACTGGCTCCAGGAAGGACACTCCACTAAAAAGACAAAAGTATCCCAAGTTTCACTCACTGGTTATAGCTTCCTGTGCTCGGGAAATCCCGCCCCCCCCCCCCCCCCCCCCCACCGAGCTTTCTAGCTTTTCTCTGGAATTAAGGCCTCCTAACTAGAGCTGTTGTTTCAGCTAAATGTATCTGCTTCCAGACTGTGCAGTCATTTCCTTATATGCTTAACGATTAGCTTCCCTCAGCACTTCTAGTCTCATCAGAAAGTGGAAACATACCTGCTGGAGAACATTATCTATTTTCTTGCCTTCTCTCGTTCATCTAGCTGGTGCAAGCAAGGGAAGCCTTCAGATTCCTTGGAATAAAAACTAGCTATACTTGGGGCACAAGACAATTCCACTCTTCTCGATTAATCTGCATAAACAGCCATGCAGCCTAATGAGGCAAATAGAATGTTTTTCAAGTATTGCAGATTCCCTTTTTTTCAGCTTGCCCAGCATCATTGTGCTTTGTGAAATCTACCTCAATAACTTTGCCTCAAGATCTTTAATTACTCTGTAAACATGCTTTGTTCCCTCGATAGCTTTCTAAATATGGATTTTTGAATCTTAATTAATGTTCCAACTACTAATTGAATGTTTGCTGCTCACACTCGTAGAAATGAAAAATGCAGTTTGAGCTGCTTGGATTCCTCCTCACACCATTATAGTATCTAACTTTATAGAGTTTTGCATTTTACACAAAGCTTGCCCAGAGACAGCTCTGCTTGATCATCATAAAGTGATTTTCAGGCTCAGGTTTTGCTCTGAGCTTGGCATGAGAAACGTGCACAAATAAAACTAATTTAGGGAAGAATGGCCATAGCACCACAAGTTGTTCTCCTGGTATATTTGCTATGATCGTAATTTTTTTTTTTTAATGTGAATATTGGTTCTATACTTAAATAAATATGGTGTGTTAATGATGACTTTACAGAAGTCGGTGATAAAAAGAACAGAGCTCTAGATTCCCCTTATAATTCTCACATAAACACTTTATGCCGCTTGGTAAATTAAATAAAATTTCTCCTCTATCAGTTGAGTTCCTTCACTTCACAAGTATGCATAGAAGCTCTCCTCTAAGCACAGGTGCTCTGCAGGCACTGGTGGCTGTTCCCAGTAACGGTGTGATGGCCAACTAACTTGATCCAGGTAGTCACCAAAAAAAGATCTGTTTTGGGGCACCTGGGTGGCTCAGTCAGTTGGGCGTCTGCCTTCAGCTCAGGTCATGACTTCAGAGTCCTGGGATCGAGCCCTGTGTGGGGCTCCCTGCTCAGCTGGGAGTCTGTTCTCTCTCTCCCTCTGCCCTTCCTTCCCATGCTCTCTCTTAAGTAAATCAATAAAATCTTTAAAAATTTAAAAAAAAATCTGTTTCTGAATGTATAGGTCATTTTAAAGTATGAAAACTCTGTATTATATTTTTAAAATTGTGTCAGTTATAATCATATCTTTTAAAAAAAAATTAATGCTTCCGAACTACTTAATAGCTATTTCCCTGGTTAACATCATGTTTTAAAAGAGTTTATCTGCCAACATGTTCTTTGTGCAATTATTTTCTCATTAGTATTTACTGAAAACCAAACAAGTAATTGCCAATCAGAATACATGGAGTTGGTATATTGCCAACATCACCACCCCTCTTAAAAAGAAACACATTTATTTTATTTTTTTCTTAGGCTGGGTATCATGTCTGTGCACAAATACACGATTTCCGGTATTTTAAAATGCAAAACATCTCCATGACTGAATGGGCTTTACCGATCTAATGGAATTCCTTCATTTATTAATATTCTATTAATATGATGTTTTTTCCATTCACCTGCCAGTTTGTAGTTGAACTAGAACTAGCCAGCCTCTTTTCTGAACATCTACTTGGGATAGATGCATGAATGGACGTTGTCTCTGGAGGTTAGGAATAGACTCAGAAAAGGAAACAAATTTACAGCCTTCATAAAGACTCAAGGTGCTTTTCTACTTAACTCCAGTGTTTGTTTCCTAGGCTTGAAGCATTTGTTGTATTTGATGACTCTAGGTGTTAATTTATGTCCTAAGGGTTGTTAGGCTGACAGTTCCTGGGGACGGGGATGGGGGGAGGCAGCAAGAGCCCCTAAGCCAGAGTCCAGGCAGCCCTCATTTTGCACCCCCCGGCCCTCCCCAGTTCCTACCCAGCCTCTTCCCCTGCCCACTCTTGCCAATCGAATCTTTCATCTTTTTCCCTAAACTGAGATCAAATGGTAAGTTGCGCTACTTTAAAACCACTTGATAGGATCATGGGGATATTTGGGTACTGGGGCAGAGTCAGAGTCTGGCATGGCAATGCGTGTTTGGTAATAATTTCAGTCCCTCTAGGGAAAACAATGCCTTGGAATGTTCACGATGAAATGATACAGATCATTACCTGTATCGATGGTTAAGTGATAGGTGAGAACCTGTGATATCCGTGAGCTTGCATAAGAGATGTCCACGATTCGGTTTCCTTAAACCTACTCTTGACATTCCTCCTGTAACGCGTGGATCACTCTGATTCTGTTTTAACTAACGAGGTGAGATCGCCTCATATCATGTCCTGTAACTGAAACTAAGTATATAGAGTTGTTGATACAGACCTGCTAATATACAGTTCCCAATCTGTCATGAGGTTATTGATGAGTTTTGCTTTCTTCATTCTTTTCTGGCTGTATTTCCAGGTTTTTACAATATATATACATTTCTTTTAAATTAAGAAATAGTAATTTATAATAGCATTTACAAAAGTACGTGTATGAGAATCCCACATATATTCTTGTTATCCCTAAGTCAGTTTATTCAGTTTCCTTCAGTATGTCCTGTCCAGCTCAGTACCTGATATTATAATAATGAGCCCTTACATTTGTATAGGTCTTGATGAAGAGTTTCTCACATGGGACGAATAGCAGTACTTAATCAACTCAGTAATGGTGTCAGGATAGACAATCATATCACAAGGAGATTGTGGGTTAGCTCTTTTTTCTTTCTTGCCAAGAATTATGTAATTAGCGAATAGCAAGGATAAAGCAGTATTTCCTAATCCTAACATAGTTTTCCTTTTTTATATGCAGTCATTTTTTCCCCATATGTATAAATGTCTGCTAAACCCCATGAAGCATATGAAGAAATATCAGTCCTAGTTCCTGTCATCAAGCAGTTTGCAGTATAGTTGGGGTACAAAGACATTTGCTCATGGAATTACCCATTCAATTAATAAGACATAAGTAAAAAGTGCAGTGTGTAAGGCAGTGTCTGGGACATAGAAGGCACTCAAGAAATGTTGGATGGATGCATGGGTGGGTGGCTGGATGGCTAGATGGGCAGAAGCTCAGACAGACGGACAAATTTATTAGAGTTATAGGGACTAGTAAAGAGAAAAGTTCCTTCATGACAGATGGCTGAGTTTCAGTAAACATCTATTGACTTTCATTGATCAGAGGATATTTCAAGAAGATAGGCTAGCGAAGCCTTCTAGAACTTGGGAGTAGAGTGTGACCCTGTAGAGAACAGGAGGGAGGGAATTCCAGGCCAGGGTCTCAGCATAAGCCAAAGCAGTGAGGCAAAAAAAGCAAGGTATGACGGGGAACTGTAAAGGAATGACCTTTCTAAAGCATAGATTTTGGTGAAGAGGTTGTTTTGCAAGTAGAATGGGACTCTATCATAGAGTGTCTTGAATTTCAAGTGGAAGTACTGAAATCATCCATAAGCGTGGGCAGCGACAGATATTTTCGTGTAAAATAATATTATACAGAAAATGCCTTATAGGCAACAAATCTGGTAGCAATATGACTTTGTGTTAAATATAAAGATATGAGATGGTTTGATAAGTATTTGCTGGGAATTTAGAGTATTTTTTAGAAAGAACTACACATGTGGATATTGCTGTATCATCATTAAAATATTCCTTTATGCAGGAAACAGAGGGTCACTGGAGGGATGGGGTGGGGTTAACAATAAATTAATTTTAAAAATATTCGTATATGTGACTGAAATTTCTGAGACCATTATGTCAAATGCAGATTTAGATCAATAGGTATTCTTACTGAGAACCAAAAGATTACAACATTGGAAGACACATCTAGAGGCCTCCAAATACTGCATGCATAAAGTTTAATCAATTTTTCCTATGCTGGAGGAAAGGTAATAATTGTTGTCTTCTGAGATGTACGGCCTTACTCCTGGATATGTCAGAAAACTGGCATTTCTTGCATGTGCATTCTTATTGTGCCAAGAGAAGGTGTAGACACTGTCCTTTTTCCTTAAACCTATTCATTATGTTACAAAATTGATGAGGTCATCGCTTAAAGTGGTTACCAGGTAAGGCCTTGGAGCAAAAGTCAGTGGGTTAGAATCCAGGTCAACCACAGCTACTCGGTCTTAGTTCTCTCTCTGTTCCTCAGCGTTCTTGTCCCATGAATGACGATCACAATAGCACCAGCATCTTAACATCATGGAGAGGGTTACATGGAAAAAGACGGTCTAGTGCCTGCCACATGGTAATAATCCATACACGATAGTCCTGTTACGAGTCCTAATACATCGTTGATGAATAATAGACATCCATTTTATGACCTTGTTAGGTTTGTTCACATGTGTTGTTATATTTGTTTTTTGTTTCTTTTTTTTAATCATGGCTAGAAAGAATGCTAGGATCCCATGGGGATGTGTCTGGGCTCTTGGCCAGAACTCCGTATAGACAGCCTAGGTTGATTCTAACTTCCGTGAAGCTGACCAGCCTCTTGCCTCCCCTAGTGAGCCACCTGTATGGATTTGGACTGATGGATGCGGAAGCCATGGTGACGGAAGCCGAGAAGTGGACCACCGTTCCCCAGCAGCACGTGTGTGTGGAGAGCACAGACCGGCAAATCAAGTAATACTCGTGGCAAGCAGTCAGCATAGCAATTTCCTGAAAGAGATCAGGCTGGCACAAGTGCTCCAGACAGCATTTGTTGTCCATGGAAGCCGAAATCTTGTGTTGTGTGGTTGTTTGTTTGTTTTTTTCTAGCATAATTATAAAATTCTCATAGAATGTCTAGGATGCTAAGCTGTTAAATCCACATAATAGGACCCAAGGATCCTTAAAAACATCTCGCAACAGGGGATTTGGAGGACGCTTACAAATGGGCATTCTTAAGGTTTCTACTCAGCCAATATTTCTATCTCATGGTGCAAATGTTCTCCCTAAGTCAGCGTACTCCAAAATCCTAAACTTGATATTCTGGAAACTGAACTCTGTAACGTGTAATAATGAACTGTATTTTCAGTATAGTATATAAGAATAACAATAGGTTGGAAGTAACATGGATAGAAAATAAGAAGTAGGGGGCACGAAGGAAGAAGGGTCAGCCATAGGAACAACAGCCAAAAACAAACAAACTTCAGGCACAATCTCTGAGGTGAAACGAATCACACCCAACTTGAACTGTTGTCAGTGTGACCAGAGCCCCGTGTTCAGGGGAAACAGTGGCACAGGAGAAAACTAGTGAAGAAACCAGGCACATTCAGGCCAGAGGAATCTTGGGTTATAGAGCAAGGAAGTGGTAGACCAGGGATTTGAACCAAGGTCCTGGTAACCCCCGAGCCTTCCCCATACTGCCATACCCTCTAGCAGTATTCCGAAAAGTATATTCCACAGATCGGCAACATCACTGTCCCCTGGGAACTTGTGAGAAATGCACGTTCTTGGAGCAACCTCAGCCCCACTCAATCAGACATTGCAGGCAGAGGCTCAGCTCTTTGCGTTTCAACAAGGGGATACCCTCAAGTTTGATAGCCCTCCCTGCATGAAGATAAAAGAATCCCACTTCCCCCATTTTCTCTCACTTGCATCTTTCCCACTGATAACCAGGGTTAATCCTTGAAGGGACCTTGGGTGATGGCACTGTGTCCTTTAGCATCCAGCCACCAGCGGCTTGTGTGACATGGCGTCATCATTCCGGGCCCACAGTTCTACGCAGCCCAGCCCCTCCAGTGCTCTGCTCACACTCAGTCTCTCTCTGTTGCAGGACCATTCGCCCCAACAGTGCAGTACGCTCCATCTACAAAGCTTCGGGCTGTTCCGATAACCCCAACCACCACGTCAACTACCTGGAGCACGTCGTTGTGCGCATAACCATCACCCATCCCAGGAGGGGAGACCTGGCCATCTACCTGACCTCGCCCTCAGGAACCAGGTCCCAGCTTCTGGCCAACAGGTACTGTGATGGCTCTGGCCACCGGTGCGTACAGGCGACACCAACACTCCACTGTTGTGGAAGGTAGAGAGCGTCACCTGCTCTTGACTCAACCCTAAGAACCAGCTTAGGGGGCACTTAGATGTCAAGATGGCACAGTCAGAGCTCTCACTGCCCATACATAAATGAAGGGGTATGGGGTGCCTGGGTTGTGGCAGTGTCCAACTCTTGATTTCCGCCCAGGTCATGATCTCAGGGTCCTGAGATCAAGTCACATGTTGGGCTCTGCACTCAGCAGGGAGTCTGTTGGAGATTCTCTCTCTGCCCCTCTCCCTTCACCCCTCCCCCCCAAAATAAATAAATAGAATCTTTTTTTTTTTTAAATGAGGGGTGAAAAACTGCCTAGAATCTGTAGGAATGGGACAGTGTAACATTTAATACTTGGATAATATTGCAGTGATGCCGCAGAAAGAAGGCCACCTGTTGTTTACCCTAACAAAGAATTGCAGAGTACTACCTCCTTAGGCCCTTGAGATTGTCCTGCCTGCCCTTAAACGTCTGCCAGGATTTGTTACAGATTAACTGAATTCTCTGGCCCAGTCCTTGTCCAAGGTTAAAGGAAATTCTATGTGATTTATTTATTTATCTATTTATTTATGTATTTATTTATAAGATTTAATTTTTGTTTTGGGGGGTTTTTTCCCCCTAAGATTTTATTTATTTGACAGAGATCACAAGTAGGCAGAGAGAGAGAGAGAGGGAAGCAGGCTCCCCATCAAGCAGAGAGCCCAACACAGGGCTCGATCCCAGGACCCTGGGATCATGACCTGAGCCGACGGCAGAGGCTTTAACCCACCGAGCCACCCAGGGGCCCCATTTTATGTGTTTTAAAACAGGTGTGGGCAAATTTTTTTTCTGCAAGGAGCCAGTTAGTAAATGTTTTGAGCTTTGCAGGCCATGTTTCTGTGGCAACTGTTCAACTCTGCCTCAGAGCGAAAAAGCACCTAGGCCATGTGGATGCATGGGCGTGGCTGTTTTCCAATAAAGCTTTATTTACAGAATAAATAAACAAGCAACAGGCTGGGTTTGGCTTGAAGACTGACTGTAAAGGTTAGCCCTTTAGTCTTTATTGCCCAAGAGGGTACTCAGTTTCTTGTCTTAGCCTCTTGCCTTTTCCCTGCTCCTTCCAAACACTGATCCAGGAGGTAATTGCACTGCCACTATCCTGCCGAAATTCCAGAATGTTCTAGCAACCAGTTTTCTTTTGCTGCATAGGTTTTTGAATGGTTGGAAGCATGGGTAGCAGGTGCTTATCAAAAAGTGGGACCCGAATGGGGACAAGTCAGGTTGTCTTATACACTTTGTTCCCTCTGTGGTTCTAAAATGTAAACCACAGCTGGAAGCCTAAATTTCTTTAAATTGATCTTTTTTCCTCCCAGACGAACATTTAATGGGAGCAGAAGTCTTATCATGAATGGCATATATATGAGAGCCAGTCTTTCATGCAGACATAACCACCTGCCCACATAGCCAGGTGACCGTGGCAGTGGTGGTCTTTGTTAGGGCGGGGTTGAGAGGCCTGGGGCCGATGCAGTCCTACAGAACCTAAAGCGAGATTGAGCAAAATCTTTGCTTTGCAAAATCCCCAAATTCATCTGCTCTGGGACTGTGAGAACGAGCGCAGTAGCAGTTCTGAATGATAGTCTCTGGGAGTACAGAATCCGAAATCTTCAGTTACATTTTGCATCTGTGCTTGGCAGACTTGTGTTCTTTAAAACTTCACATCCTCCATCAGTGCACGGGAAAACGTGGGCTTAGGGCTTGATGCAGCGCAGCTTTGCCAGAATGAGGGGATGCAGGTGCAAAGAAGGGCAGGCTGCTCTGGCCTCAGATCCCTGGACGTGCCACCCGTGCCCTCCTCCCGCTGCAGAGCGGGGTCGCAGCTGCTGCCTGCCAGATGCTTCTTTCCAGTGGGCGAGGCCTTCCCGTGCATGGTTCCGTGATTAGGAGGTCACACCAGCTGCTGCTACTGAAGCGAGGGAAGACCTTTTTCCCTGTTGTTCTTTCTTTCTCTTTGCCTTTATTTGTCTGCGTTAAACTTGAATGCGTATGCAGGTGAAACACGGGGGCGCAAAGGTTTGCTTCACGCATGCGCAGCTGAGACCCCTCCAGCCTCTGTTGAAGAGAAAACAGCCCCTTCATGGTGGCTGTGGGCTTGGAAAACTCAAGGTCCTCAGACTTTCTGGGCTTTTCCTGCCTCTGGCGTTATTTCTAGTTGGCCTCAGCCCGGGATGACTTCAGTGTGGAGGCTGATAAGCCAAGGAGCTGTGGACCCCATCACCGGCTTTGGTGGATTATCCTGCGCAGGCGCAGGCTTCTGTCCAGCACGCATGCGCGGGCTTCAGTCCTGCACGCCTGCGCAGCGGCGGAGCTGTGCTTTGCCCTTTGAAAGTGTGGAACCCAGCACGGCTGCTTGGCTTGTGCCGGAGGGAAAAAAAACAGGTGTTTCGATACTCGGTGACCAGCGGTGGGGAAGTTGACCTCAGTTTCCCCCATCAAGACTCCCTGGGAATACAGTTGCTACTCGACGTGGGTCTTCTCTGTCTGGAACGTTTTCTCCAAGGGCTGGTCTCTAGTGTGTGTGCCATCTCGTTGCTGAAAGGAAGGAGGTGGATGGACCCGGGGGGGGGGGGGGGGGGGGGGGCAGAAGGCCTGGAGACATCCCGGAGATGTAAAGGATGTTATGAGTTCATTTGTCCGCAGTTCCCCGATCACATCACTCTGAGCAGCTGATCCCTGAAGCGTAAAACAGTGGCACCCAGTCCCAGAAGCACGTCTGGTCTCTGAGGCCACGCTCCGCTGCCCTTGCTGTGCTTGATGCCCGGAGCATTCCTTCAACTGAAGTGGCTAAGGAGAGAGAGGTCTTTGTGGCATTTTCTTTCCTTCCTTGCATGTTCTGAAGCTTTCCTTTTATGAGAGGAAGTGTCTCTTCAGAACCTTCTAGTCTCTGACCTAGGGGCCGGGGGTCCTTGTATCCTCTCACCTTGGCCCTGTTTCAAGGCCCATTCCCTGGATTGGGAGCTGAGGACACGCAGCATAGGAGAGGGGGGCTAGGTCAAGTTTTGGAGGGAAATTGTGTGTCAGAGGTTATTAATGAGAGCAATAGATGGTACCCCGGTTGGACACTTACCTTTCTTTCACAGAAGTCAAGATTTCTAAGGAGGACCACGTTAAAGCAAAGAATGGCATGTATCTGAAAGAGACTTCTCAGTGGTCACCAAGAGGAAGTTTCCGGAGTGAGGGGGTCACTTGAGATGGGGAAGCAGAGCTGAGGTGGCCCAGAGCCATCCCCGCGTGTTTCAGTGCTGTTTATCCCCACCACACAGCAATTCCTTTGGAATCAATTTTCTGCGAGGTCGCTGAGCGCTTGCCCACGTGGGCCGTCTGGAACCCCTCAGTGCCCCCCTGTCCCGGCTGACGGGCACTTGCTAGAACTCCCGTGGAGAACAGCTGTTGGAGGAAGAACGCTTACCCAAGCACCTGCAGGTGCTGGACCCTGGAAGGCACACAGCAGCGTTCAGAACTAGTCCGACGTGAGCGTGCCCCATTAGCCCAGCATGTGAGCTCCCCTGGCAAGCCGGGTTGATAATTTAGGGGGTGGGAGCGCCGAGTACACAGAGCAGGCCTGGAATGGGCAGATGGTTCGTTTCTCCTAATCCCTTTGTTTTCTCCTGCCCTCCCACCCTCCCAGTCCTCCTCTTGGCCGGTGCACCCTGCCTCGCAAAAAGTCGCCCTGAATAATCAGCATAAATGATTTATTTCCGGGGAGAATCTGGAGGTCTTGAATTGGCGGAGGGGAATCCAGGTGGGCTTGGGCTCCTTTAACATGTTTTTAGACAAGCATAACTTTAGATGCGCCTTTTTTTTTTTTTTTTTTAAATACCACCACATATTCAAATTCTGCCTTGCAAAAGTTTTGCAACAAAAGCCAGCTTCATGCGATTCTTCCTTCAGCTGCATTTGGCAGAATTATGAAAAGCGGTCTTTCTCCCCCTAAGTCTCCCCTTCCCCCAAGTCAGTGAGTTCAAGATTTAGTGTAGCTGTATTGGCCTTCTGTTCCAAATTTTGGCTTCTGACTGAAAGCTGAAACTTTGCCTTTCTTTCTAAATTTGATTACACACGAATATTTCTGCTTCTAATTATGGTCTTAAGTAGAGAGAAGGTACACTTTCGAGTCTGCAAAGCCTATAAGCTTCTATAATTAACTATGTTTAAATGTGGTGTTTATATTTGAGTCATTTCTGTTGCTGCCCAAATGTTCAATGACAGACTATTGACATTCGTAAAGGATCACGCCATGTAAGTGCATTTGTGGCTTGCAGTAAAAATTACACTTCGGCAGTGGAAATTTTGCATTCCAGTAAGGCCTCCCCATGAGAATCCTCGTCCTTGCTCCGAAAGAAGGTACAGCCTTTGGAGTTAGAGCTGGGTTTGTCTGGATTTCGCCAGTTTCTATGTTTGACTTTGAAAAGTGAGTCTCTCCACTAGAAAACAGATGCCAAGGTTAGGGTCCACCTCACACGGTTGTCACAAGTGTTGAGTAAGATCACTCACAGCAAGTCCTTAGCACCACTCCTGGAACACACAGTAAGCACTTACTAAGTGCTAACCCTGATTTACACAGTGCTGCCCAAAGCACCTGATGGAGGACTCCATCAGTCACAGATGGCTGGGCCCCTCTCCCAGAGTCTGATCCTGTACGTCTGGGTGAGGTCCATGAATCTGCATTTCTAAGAATCTTCTAGGTGATGTAGAAGTTGCCTGTCCGCAGACCACATTTTCAATAGTACTGGTTTAAAAAATCACTCAGCTTTTCATACAACATTCTTGTTATGTTCGTGTCCTCAAAAGACTTGCAGGCAGAACGCTGCTGGGTGCTGTGTGAGTAATTTACAAAGGCGTCTGTAATCAGAAACAGATACTTAGATAAAAGCTATCCACTCTTAAATGGAATAAATCTGCAAGATTACAAGCATACATCATAGATCCACAACAAGGAATGTGTGTTGGGCCCGGTCAGTAGTAAGGAATAGCATGTAGGTTGAAAGTCTTTTTTCTTAAAAACTCATCTTTTTAGTATTTCAGGTCTCTAGAACTAGTCCCTCTCTCTCTCAGCCTTTCTTAAAGAAGTAATTTCAATGAGGAGAGACAGAAAAACTTAATAGTGTGTTTTAAACACCCTATTTCAGAAGCAAATCATTTAAAACTTGCAAAAGCCAAACAGCTAAAGAAAATAAAAAACCACATGACAATTAAGCCAAATGAGCGCTTCGAGCGCTCTGTAAGTCCTACGTGAAGTTGCAATAAAGCGCTAAAAAGAAAATAATAATTAAGTAATTTCAGGGACAGAGAAAGAAAAAAAGGAAACTTCTAAAAATATCTGTCTAAAGTTTAATTCTGTAGTGAACATAAATACTGTTTGGGGAGTAGTAGATGATTCTGAAATTAAGATCCATTTATAACTTGAGCAATAATTATATGATAACACATAGCTGTCAGTACTTATAAAATGTCTTGTTATTTAGTTGCCACAACAGCACTGAAGAATGTTGTAGCCTTGACACATTGGCTAGACTATTTAAGCTAAAGGGGGAAGAAAGCTTACACTAATTATATTAGTTATTTCCTGAGTTAATTCCTCAAAAGGATGTACTACCCTTAATGGCAGTCTTTTCTACCAGCCTTCATCCAAAGTAATTTATTTGAAAACCACTCACAGGGATCGGGCTGTGGGGCACCATTTTAATAACTGGATGCGTAACTTGTGCTACCACAGGTATATATCATTTCATAGAGCACGCAATTATGAAGTCAACTTCGACAGACAGGGTTTCGCTGCAGCAGACGATGTGGATAGGCCACGGGGGTAATTAGTCCAGGATTCTGCACACTGGCCCTGCTTTGTGGACATTTCATCCATGCTGATAACGTTGGCATGTGTTGGGTTTCTTCACTGTTGGCCCGGCACAGACATTCAGACTGGGCATTGGACTTTTTAGCCGATAAGTGGAGACCACACAGTTAGAATCTCTTTAGCTGGTGTCCAGTGTGGTTGGACTCTTGCTTGTCTTGAGCAAGTGTGTTGTTTGCAACACAAATCGAATCTACTACCAGCGTTACCTTTTATGACACACAGATGAAGCCGGGTTGTTCATTGCCACAATGCCAAAAACTTGGGACGAGTTTAAGTGCTGAATCAGAAGAAAATAAAGAACGGGGTGAGACTAGAAACATGAATGGTCAGGCTAGTCGATCCAACAGCAGTCATCAGTGTCTGTTTCTTTCCCCATCAACTCTTTCAGCAAAATGCAATGATCGTGTTTGGCTGCATTTTTAATTCCTCTCCTCAGCTTTTATGTCCACATGAAATTAATGAGCATTCAGCTCTGCATAAAGGGAAGAGACTGGGGTGGGAAACCGCTTAGCCCGATAGACAAAGCCCATTTATATTCGGGCTTTGAAACACTTATTTGAATGTCGATTATGGGTATTTCTTCTTGGCACCCAGTTTATATTTAATTTGGGTTCCAAATGTGATTTAAAAGTGATTGGCAGCAATGGAATGATTTTCAAAGGTGGACAAGAAAGGGTGGAAGGGGAGAAACACAGGGTCTGCTAATCCAGCAGTCAAATAATTGACCCGTGAGTAATTAGAAGTTGGCTGGGGTTGTGGAAACAAGACTGCCCTTCATGTGATGGCAGCCTCAAGTCTCCTTTGTAGTTTTGGACGTGAGGCAGTGAGCCAAATGCTCTGTCTAAACTGTTTGGGAATTGCTTTTAAGTTTGGCACTCTTGGAAAGGTATTATGTGACAAGTTGTTGCTCCAGTGCCCTCAAACGGCACAATGGCTTCAGCGATCTCAACTCTGTGGGCTGAGAAGTGGTTCTAGATTGGTTTCTGCTTCCACGCATTTCCACATCAACACACTCCCTTTTGTAACATATGTCTGAGAGGAAAGGCGATTTGAAAAGCCTCCTCCTTCCCCACCGCTGTTTCTCCTTTTCATCCAGCCTACCCCCCCCCCTTTAGGTTTATGTGAAGGGCTCTCTGTATGTAAGTCAGTTATATAATGGGCCAGCAATTTCTTCCTGGCCAAGTCTAGTTTTAAGCCATCCGCTTATGAAGCAGGCCTTGTTGTGGTAGTGCATACATTATAGGATCTCCATAAAATGTACCATCCCTAATCTAGTGAAGCTCTTTTATAGATCTTTCATACTAGGAAGATATTCATTTAAGGAGCCACTATTTCTATCCCTGTTACCATGAGGGTAAGCCACCACATTCAATATGGCTCTCATTGAAATGCCACTCCTCTCTTCAGAACTAACCCTTACACATAGTCTACAGATATTCTAAAAAGAGAAAAAGGGGACTCTCACTCTTAGAAGCTTTGAAAATCACTTCCTACTGTTAACCCCATTATGGAAATTAACAAAACATATCTGAACATCCCAGACATCTGGGATATTCTCCAGTAAAGAGATCTGTTGGACTCTGCCTCAGCCTTTCTCAGATTTTGCCCAGTTTTCTGACCATGGGACACTTTGAGAATGCTGATAAGTACTTGCCTTTTTTCTTCTTCTAAGGTCTGAGGAACACATAGAGGTGATTTTTCCCATTTATCATGTTTCTCTAGAGAAAACTGCCAAGTGTCCGCCATTTACATGATACTCTCCCGTTATGCCAACCACCCCTTCAGTTTCAGGATCCAGCTGTCATTTTAGAGGGATCCTCAAACATATTGAAAGAATGCTTTTATATGTAAAGAATTAGAATTCTGGTATATTAAATTATAAGGAGATTAAACTGGTTATTTTTGGTTTCAGAAGGGCACTTTTTCTCCCAATGGGAAGATATACATAGCATGCAGATTATACCCACCAATTCCCTTGGTGAGCATGAAATTAAAGCGAGGAGAGTTGATTGCATGTTCTGAATAGCCATCAACATCCAGTTGCCATGAACTTTGTCTCCATGGAAGGACAGATATGTCCCAGAAACAGGACATGGTTGCTTCTAAGACCATACTAAAGATATTTTTGCTTCCCTGTTTGCCTCTCTAGCTCTCAAGTTCTTTCTCTAGACACACATAATTTTTTAAGTTTTATTAAAAAATTTTAAAAAACTGTCTCTTGCCCTGTCTTTAACTTTTTAACCTCCTATTGTCCCATCTCTGTAGAAATCTTTTTCTAAAAGTAGGTTGTACACTCAACATGGGGCTTGAACTCAATGATCCCAAGATCAAGAGTTACATGTTCCAATGACTGACCCAGCCAGGCGCCCCCTATAGAAATCTTAATATTTCTTTGGGTCATCAATTCTATATAATGTGCCTAGATAAGTGACATGCCTTTCTTCATGTGCTTGTTTTATACATTATCTTTTGACGTTTCTTTATTCTTAATGAGGATTCTGTTTTCTTCTTTTCCTTCTTGTTTTGTATCCCTCAGGATTACATCACAGGAAATAATGCTAGCTATTTCATATAGCTAATATAGGGAATTTGGAGCTTAGAAAATCATTAGAAGAGCTAGAAGAGCAGAATGTAGGCTGAACTTATAGGCATGACTCCCTCAACTGGTTAAGATGAGTGGACAGGGTCTTTTTACTGAGTCGTAATTTATGAACAATACAGTTCACTTTTTAATGTGAGTAATTTAGTGACGAATAATGCTCTATATCTATACACCATTATTTTCAAGATATAAAACAATTCCGTCACCCCTGGAACTTCTACCATGCCCCTTCTTCCCCCCCACCCCCTGGCACCCACTGATCTGTTTCTGTTTATGTTGCCTTTTCTAGAATGTCCTAGAAATTGAATCCTACAGCACGTAGTCTTTTATGTCTGACTTCTTTCATTTAGCTTCAGTGCTTCTGAAATGAATTCATGTTGTTGCATTTATTAGTAGTTCAATAGTTTTTATTCATGGGTACTGTTTTGTCATATGAATATACCAGAACTTGATTACCCATTCACTAGTTGAGAGACTTCTGAGTTGTTAACAGTTTTTAAGAATTACAAATAAAGCTGCTGTGAACATTCATGTGGAGTTCTTTGTATGAACATATGTTTTCACTTCTTGGGTAAATGTCTGGGAGGGGGATTGTTGAGTCACATGGTAAGAACTAGCAAACTGTTTTCAGAGTAGCTGTTCTGTTTGGCATTCCCATCGGCAGTGTAAGAGAGTTTTAGTTGTCCCACATCTTTAATACTTGGTATTATCACTCTTACGGGTACAGTCATAGCCTGGTTTTCCCGATACCCAAATGTTTATTTACCCCTTCCAGAGTTGCTATTATAAGGCCACCACTGTGCCTATTTGGCTGTGGTAGAATGATGACACGCATTTGGGTCTACTCATTGTCAATGTCCAAGAGGAAAATGGCCTCCAGTATTGAGCTGAACCAGGGGGTATAGCTCAGTGGTAGAGCATTTGACTGCAGTATTGAGCTGAACCTGCTGATGGGTACAAAAAGATCACTGATCATGGTCTTGCCTTGACCTTCACTGGATTCCAAATAATGTAGAAAACAATGCTTTCTGGTTATCTCACAGGCTTTTTGATCATTCTATGGAAGGATTTAAAAACTGGGAGTTCATGACCATTCATTGCTGGGGAGAGCGAGCCACCGGTGACTGGATCCTCGAAGTTTATGATACCCCCTCCCAGCTGAGGAACTTCAAGACTCCAGGTAGGAACTCCCTTTTCTATCATTTGGTTTACTCTGCAGAAACAAGTGATGGAATCTATTTTGGCCTGGAAGGTTTTTGCATTTATATATCAACATCATCCTTTCTCATGTGATCCTATAGTTGGAGTATCTGTACATATTCCAGTTCTCAGTGTTACCATTTGAGGGGTAATGATTGAAGGCTCAAAGAATAAATGTTTTGATCTAAGTACAAGATAAAATGTGACAGCTATTGATTGACATTTCAGAATATATGCTCCATCTAACCAGCTTCCCCCCAGCTAGCCTCATCTAGAGAGGGTTTCCTTAATTATCTGTTCCTCCGAATTTGTTCTAAAATTAATTTTTAGTGCACACAAGACATTGAGCTTGGCCTGTGCAAGCTATGCTGGTTACAGTAAAGAAAAATGAATGTTGGTATTCTGCCCCATGTGAGCCTAAGAGCTAAGGGAAAGGAATACTTTGTAGATAAGTAAAATGTGGAAATGACGATGTTAACAGAAGCACATGGCCTGCCTCCATCTTCCTGCTAATATACGAAGCTTGTTTGTAACACAAAGTAAGGGAAAGTACAAATGTAGTTTGGGGCGGGAGACTGAAGATTTTCACAGCACCTGTGTTATCCACAATGGAGCCCTACGTAGTACTTGGCTCGGGGACAGCTGATCTGTTTCACAACCACGCCAGCTCCCACCCAGCTGTGGACACATCTGCAGCCATCTAAGAAATCCGTGCTTCCCAGTGCTCTCTCTGTGCAGCCCATCTGAAGAAGATCCAGGCCTGAGGGCTTGTTTGGACTAATGGGTATCCAGTTCTAGCCCTCCCCCGATCGCAGAAGAAATTAACCCAGACATTCCGTAATTCATTGTAAGGGTGTGTGTTACTCAGAGAATTGTGTGCTGCATAGAGCAAAGGAGACACACAGCAGAACAGAGGAATGAAGCAGCCATTTGCCTTACTTTTGCCTACTGGTCAGGGAAAGGTACTCATTCTGAGAGATCCATTTTTGGCCATGCATTTGGCGATCTCTTCTCCCTAATTCTATGATGTGGTTCCTCTGTGTTGCCTCAGAAGACCCACACTCAGGTGGCAAGGTCACAACGAATCAGGATATAAGATTTATTAAAGGGTATCCGGTTCCAGCTCTCCTCCAGCATGCGTCATGAATATAATGCTTGCCAAAGTGTGATCGAGAAATCAAATGTTGGTCAACAAGGCAGGATTGAAGGAAACCATTAAAATAAACTAGCCCCTGGTTTCTAGATGCTTTCATTGGTTCCTAACCTACTTAGTCCCCAGGAAATTCCTTTCCCCTCCCTTCCTTTTTCTGGGCCATGGTCAGTGCTCATGTGATAGAGATACACTGGGTTGTGGCATTCAAGGGCAATGGTGGCTTGGTGACTTGACTGTGCTGCCCGACCCCAGAGGAACCATCGGCAGGTGACAGTTGAGGGCTTTTACGTCTCAAGAGATCCCAGGGAAATAATCACTGTCCAAATATGATAGTTGTATACCAAGGGCTGGGGTTGGGGGGGGGTGATGCCTTAAGGCACAGACATAGGGGTACACTATCGAGAATATATGACTAAAAGTGACTGTTCTTTACTGTCACCACACAACTCTAAAGAATGTCAGTGATAAAATGCTTCTCCCCACAAGAGCAAACTACCCCTAGGAGCACACTCCTGGTAGACCTGGTATTTATGTGCAAGGGTCAGGGGCTGTGAATGTAAATCTCTCTGCCCTCCAGGAGTTCAGACTTCCCCCAGAGTTGGTGACGATCATCTGTGTTAGAGGCTCTCAGCAGTAGCCCAGATAATCTAGAGTTGTCTCTTTCCCAGCACTGGCTTCCACTTAACCGTTTAAATGTTCATGCATAATTCTAGTCACCTCTAGGCATTTTACAGATGTTCTTTACTGCCAGAAGAGAGAGAGCCTAATGCTATTACTGACCTGGGGTCAGGAGGCTTTAATAAATTCACACAGTCTTTGAATATCCTTCCTTTAACCAACCTTCCTGTTTAGGATTAGTCACAACATTGAAAAGGGACTTGTACTTCTATGTGTGGGCATGTATGTTTCTTTCCATGTGTGGGCATCATTGTTTCTCTGGTGTACAGTCCTAGGGAAGGCTTCTCTAATTAGTGAGGGATTTTTTTAGTAAGCTAATAGAAATTCAGTTAGAGACTTAGCCCAATTTCTAGCCCAATTAAATGATAGAATCATTCCCAAGTATATAGGTTCCTAATTCCGAACTGAGCTCCTATCTCTTTGTTTCTTCCCATTTCTTCCCATTGTTTATTCCCATTTGTTTATTATTAAAGCACATATTAAGGATTTTTTTTAATTGAAGTATAGTTGATACACAACTTTACCTTAGTTCCGGGTGTACAACATGGTGACTCGACAAGTCTATGTTAGCTCGGCTCACACAGGTGTGGCTACCACCTGCACCACACAGCGCTATTACAGAACCCTTGACTCTGTTTCCCGTGCTGTGCCTTTCATTTCTGTACCTCCTACTCTCCTTCTCTGATGTTGCTTCCTTCCCTTTCCTCTCTGGCAATCACCAGTTTGTCCTCTGTGTTTATAAATGAAATCGTATGTATTTGCATTTCTCTGTTTCACTTTTCTCACTTAGCATAATCCCTTCTTGATTTGTCCATGTTGTTACAGATGGCAAGATCTCATTCCTTTTTATGGTTGAGTAGTACTCCACTGTGTGTGTGTGCATGCGTGCACAGGTGTGTGTGCGATTATGTATATACAGCATATCTTTATCCATCCGTCTATCAGTGGACACATAAGTTGCTTCTACATCTTGGCTATTGTAAATAATGCTGCAATAAATATAGGGGTGCGTGTATCTTTTTTAAAAAGATTTATTTATGTACTAGAGAGAGAGCACACTAGTCTGGGGACAGTCAGAAGAAAGAGAGAAACTCAAGCAGACTTCCTGTTGAACATGGAGCCCAATACAGGGCTTGATCCCAGGACCCCCACATCATGACCCAAGCCAAAATTAAGAGTCAGATGCTCAACCAGCTAGGCCACCCTGGCGCCCCTGCATCTGTCTTTTTGAATCCGTGTTCTTGGTTTCGTGGGTAAATATCCAGTAATGAAATTTCTGGATCCTTCGGTATTTCTGTTTTTAATTTTCTGAGGAAACTCCATCCTGATTTCTAGAGTGCAGACTGCTCCAGTTTGCATTCCCACAACCAGTGCACGAGGCTTCCTTTTTCTCCACATCCTCGACAACACTTGTATCTTGTCTCTTTTATTTTAGCCAATCCGATGGCGTGCACTGATAGCTCATTTAGTTTTGATTTGTGTTTCCATGATGATTAGTGATGTTGAGCATCTTTTTGTGTGTCTGTTGGTCATATCTGTGTCTTTGGAAAAATATCTATCCAGGTTCTCTGCTCATTTTTCACCAGATTGTTTTGTGTGTGTGCCAGGCTGTGTAAGTTCTGATACATTTTGGATATTAACCCCTTATCAGATATTTCATTTGCAAATATCTTCTATCCACTAGGTTGTCGTTTTGTTTTGTTGATGGTTTCCTTTACTGTACAAAAGCTTTTTAGTTTCGTGTAGTCCCAATAGTATATTTTTGCTGTTGTTTCTTTTTCCTAAAGAGACATATCCATAAGTATGTTACTAAGGGCAATGTTTGAGAAATTACTGGCTGTGTTTTCTCTTAGGAGTTTTATGGTTTCAGGTCTCATATATTATGTCTTTCATCTTTTTGCAGTTTATTTTTGTGTCTGGTGTAAGAAAGTGACCCAGTTTCATTCTTTAGCACGCAGCTGTCCACTTAAACCAATACCATTTATTGAGGAGACCATCTTTTCCCCATTATGTATTCTTGACTTCTTTGTTGTAGATTAATTGACTATAGAAGTGTGGGTTTATTTCTGGGCCCTCTATTCTCTTCCACTGATGGATGTGTCTGTTTTTGTGCCAGGACCGTGTGTTTGATTACTCCAGTTTTGTAGTAGATCTTGAAATCTGGCATTGTGATACCTCCAGCTTTGTTGTTCTTTCTCAAGACTGCTTTGTATGTTCTGGGCCTTCAGTAGTTTCACACCAATTTTAGTATTCTCTGTCTGGACATTTTAACAATATTAATTCTTCTAATCTGCGAGCGTGGACTCTTTTGCCATTTGTTCCGTTGTCTTCAATTTCAATATCAATTTCTAAAAAGTCTACTTTTTAGACTCTAAATCTTTCACCTCCTTGCTTAAGTTTATCCCTAGGTGTTTTATTCTTTGTGGTACAGTTGTCAGGGGGATTGTTTTCTTAATTTCTTCCTGCTACTTCATCGTTAATGTATTGAAATGCAGCAGATTTCCAAATATTAATTTTGTATCCTGCAACATTACTGAATTCATTTATTCTAGAGTTTTGATGGAGTCTTTAGGGTTTTGTATTTATAATGTCCTGTCATCTGCAAATAGTGACACTTTTACTTCTTCCTTACCAGTTTGTATGTCTTTTATTTCTTTTTTCTTGTCTGGTTGCTACAGCTAAAACATCCCAGTACCATGTGTTGACTAAAAATGGCAAGAGTGGGCATCTTTGTCTTGTTTCTGATCTTTAAGGAAAAGCTCTCAGTTTTTCACCATTGAGTATGACATTAGCTATGGGTTTGTCATATATGGCCTTTATTATGTTGAGGTATGTCCTTCTAACACCGCTTTATTGAGAGTTTTTATTATGAATGGATGTTGAATTTTGTCAAATGCTTGTTCTGCATTACTGAGACAATCCTGTGATTCTTATCTCATGTTATTATTGTGGTATAGAACAGTGATTGATTTACAGATACTAAACCACTGTTGTATCCGTAGATTCAATATCACCACGAATGTCCTTTTACTGTATGGTTGAATTTGGTTTCCTAGTATTTTATTGAGGATTTTTACATCTGTGTTCATCAGGGATTTTGGCCTGTAGTTTTCCTTTTTTGTAGTGCATTTGGTTTTGGTATCAGAGTA